GGGCTATGTGGCCCTAACCAGGGCGGGGCTCTCCACACTCCAGCCGTGGCCAGCATGGGCTGCCCCCCTGACTCCCCCCAGGATGCCACCCAGTGCACATCAGAACGTCCCGCAGTCCCTTCTGCTCCTGTGTCCCTCCCTCTCCAGCTTGCAGCGGCTCCCCAGGGCTTCAGGGAAGCGCCAATCATTCTGCCACTCAAGGCCTTCTGCTGTTGTCCTGTCTCTCCTTGCACGCCCTGCACCCTTCTCCCTGTGCTGGGTGCTTTCAGCTGCTCTCCCCAGTTTGTCCAGGAGGGCCCTCCCCTGGAAGGGGGCCCCTCTGCCTGCACAGTTCCCTGGGCACCACGTCCTGCCACACTGCCCACACTCCATTCTTTTGGTGTGATCTCATGACGGAAACTCCCTGAGGGCAGGGATGCTACAGTGTTCTCCACCCTTCAGTGCACAGAGCCCGGCACGTGCCATGCGCCGAGTCTCACGGGACCCAGAAATGAATGGCGCTCCCAGCACAGGGCCAGGCCACCCAAACAGGCAAAGCCCTGGTAGCTTGCAGCCGAGTCCGCACCAGGGGCCAGCAGGGCTAGTGTGTGCTTGCTAACAATCCACCTGCCCATACGGGAAACACCACCACACCCAACTGCAGTCCCAGCCTGAGTCTGTGTCCTCTGCAGGGACAGAGAACAAGGAGAGGCAAAGAGATCATGGAGCCACTGATCCCACAGGGCCCAATCTCCACAAAGCAGCAAGGCAGCAGGGGTGGGGGTCCTCCGCACGCCCACAGGCACAGTCCTGTGCCCAAGCTTCACCCCCGCCCCAGGCCAGCTTAGCGAAGCCTCTGAGTCTGCCTTTCTTCCCAGTCCCAATATTCAAACCCTTCGGACCTCAAAAGCCACCTCTGTGCATCCAGACACCTCTTTAGTTCATGAGTTACTTTACTGCTGGTTCGCCGCAGCTTCTTGTTATCATCAGGTATGTCTCATAAACACTTGATTAGTTAACGCACTCAAATCTAAATAAAAACTCCAATTAAACTGAACATTCCCTACTACCATCTAGGATCTTAAAAACACATAAAAGAAAAAGAAGAAGAAAGTAAGAGAGAGAGAGGAGAGAGAAAGCACTGCGTCTCAGACAGGCCTCCTACAGAGCAAACTTCTAATTAAACAAATTGTCAATTTCAACACAAAGCAAACTGATTTAGGAGTATAAATTTAGTATTCCAGTCACTGGAAATAAGGCCCGCGTTGTGGATCTCCTGCAGGCTGATTCCATCCGATAGGAAACGCAGAACCGAGGAGGAAGCCAGGGAGAGGCTACGGAGCAGCAGGCAGGCGCATTCTCTGCCTCTCTCTTAAGAACATCTCGGCGGAATTCAGTGTGGCCTCTTCGCCAGCATCAGAGAAACTCGTTTCTTGCCTCTTCCTTCACCCCACCCCTACCAGATCAGAAAAAAAAAAAATTAATCGTGTATGATGACAAACTTGGCTCAGCACTCACTGTACATACTGTACCCACAAGTCTGGCTCGCAGCCAGGCCTGGCTGGGCGCCAGAACTACAATAACAAACACTGGCAGTGCTAGCCAAGAGAGGGGGCGGGGGCTGCGGCACGCAGAGCTAGCGAGGAAGTGAGCTCCACGCAGCGCCTCCGCCCGGCCCCACAGAACAGCAGGAACGAAGGGCAGCATGGAAGGGAGTGGCCGTGGCCCCCAGGCAGATCCGGGGCTCCTTTTCACAAAAGGGTCCCCAGGGTTCTGGAGTGACTGTCACCTTTCTAGGCTCCCCACTGCCTCCCCCAGTTAGCTCCTGTGCAATGGGTCTGCACTGTAGACCTGGAAACTGCTTGGTGCTATCAGCTGCCTGCACACACCTTCAAAGCAGAGCAGTAGCAAAATGCAAAATCTCAGCTTGTCCAATCAAACGTCTCTTCTAGAGCGTCACACTGTTTTGTGATCCGGCATCTGGGGGCAGCAATCGGAGCAGGTGGAACCTCCACCGGCATCTGTGAGGCCCAGCCTGATGCCCCAGCAAGGCCAGGACTCTCCAGCAAGCCCCAAGGTGAGCAACTGTGCAAGTGAGCCAGCCGCACTAAGCCCTCTGTGTTGTTTTGTTTCCAGGACACACCAGTGAGGGTGAGGGACCCGCTGGGGACATGGAAGAACCCAAAGATAAGAGTTGACTCTGCAGGCTGTGAGTGAAGCACCACCATGACTCATCACACCTGCTCAGCCCCAAATCCTCGATGCAGGACGAGTCATTCCACACAGCCAGCTGTGCTGCCCACAAAGCCCGGCATGCTAAGGGAAAGAAAAGTAGGAGCACGACCCAGCTCCCAAAGCCTCCAAGCATTCATATGGGACCACAGGACCTCAAGGTAGTGTCTCAAGTAGGACCGGGCAGCACTTCCCCAGGGAACCCCCAGCCCTACGGTGGCAGGGGTAGAGGGTAATAAAGCCACCTTCTCGTCTGATTGGGAGACCCTGAGCCCACCTCGAAGTACGAATGCAGCCCCTGCCCTCACTGGTGGCCCCTCCAACAGGGCAGCCGTGTGCTTCACAGGAGAGACAGTGGCTAACTCCCACCTGGCTGCCTGCCTGGAAGAAGGGGCAATGTGGACCAGTGGGGTCCAGGCTGCCCCCACAGTGAGCTCCTCAGAGGAGCCTAGAGTTCTCCTGAGTTGTTCCTCGGCCTCCCAGGCTGCACTCATTCATTCAGTAAACATTTGTTAACTCCAGGCAATACGCCAGACCCAATGAGGACAGATCCTGCCCCTGAAGGTCCATTAGAAGAGCAAAGGGAAAGCCACATTTACCAAGACCGATTGTACACAAAGCACAGCACTGAGTAGCTGACTGAATCTTACATCTCCAGATGGGCTCAGTGTTCTCATTTTACAGATTAAGAGACTGAGGCTCAGAGTTTACATTTCTTTCCAAGCTCACATCATCCAGAAGTGAGTGGCCAAATTCTTCCTACCATATCACTATGGCTTCCATGTGGGAGAGACAGGGCAAGACCATAAGTAACCATAACACGAGGAAGACAAGACTGAGCCCAAAGAGAGCTTCTGAAAAAGAAATGTGGGTACCCAGAGGAGGGCATGATTGCTTCTGGCTGGAGGGGGGAACTGCTGAGGATGGCATTGTCCAAGGGACGCTGGGAGACAGAGGAGAAGGACTGTCCTGAGCAGACGGTGGAGCGAGAACCACTCGGAGTCTCGGAGGACAGGAGCACCACCAGCAACCCCACAGGTGGACGAGCACAGCTGGTGCACCGAGCTCAAGGAACGGGTCACTGGGGCGAGTTCCCGAGAGGACAAGGGACCTTTAACAACAGGCCGGGAGGTGCAGGGCCCCCCAGGCCACTGAGGCAGGGGGCAAAAGGAACAATGGTGGGGCAGGGATGGCTAACCTGGGTGGCAGACCGTTCACAAAGCCACACGCTGAACTTTAAACAATGCCCACAGCTGAAGGGAAACAGGAAGCTACATGGTGCAGGAAAACAGCAGGAAAATAAGCAGCGATGAGCACCAAGCAGGTACTGCACACAGGGGTGCCTGGACTCGGGACTCTGGGCTGAGGCGAGAAGGGACCAGGCCGGTCCGGGGGCACAAGGGGTGGGGTGTGGAGGCCCCATGGGAGTGGAAGACACAGGGACCCCAGGGTGGAGCAGACACGCTGAGACGGACAGCTGCTGGCGGTAGTTGAGTCCCTGGATCTGGGAGATGGAAGAATGGGGCCCATGGGAGAGGGTCACATGGGCTCCGCAGCAAGGCAGCTAAGCTGAAGCAGAAGAGGCTGCGGCAGAGCCCATACACACCATGGCCACGGAGGGCTGGCTGGGGAGAAGGCAGAACCACATGGCTACCAGGCACGGAGTCTCTGGAGCGAGATGACAAGACAGCTTTGGGGAATGCACGGAGAGGGGATGAAGGCATACACTAAAGCCACTGACATTTATGAAATACCACTTCTATGCCAGGAATTTGCTACAGATGCCTCCACTATAGATTCTGCCACCTAATACACAAGAAAAAAAAATATATACACACAAATACACATATCTATACAAATACACAAATAACACATACACACACATGTATATGCGTTAGCAACCCTGCATTGACAGGGCTTCTCAAAATACATCTGGCCAAGGTCATACGGAAGCCCAGATCACCAACATGATCTGAACTCTCCCCAGCCCAACCCAGACGCCCATGCTCATTTCACAAGGCTCGAGCTTGCAGCAGTATGGGGAAAGAAGAGGTGGACCTGGGGGTTGTCTACATAAGGGGAGAGCAAGAGCAAGACCAGGTGAGAAGACGCTCCTGTCCTCAAGTGACTCCAAGACAGAAAGGCAAGCGAACTAGCACACCCCTGGCAGGGAGCTGTCGACGCCTCTACAGCTAAAGGCAGATGAGCCTCAGGGCTCGGGGCGGAGGCACCCAACCTGCTGGATCCTTCCCTTCCCTGGGAACACCCGGGCCTGCTGAATGTCGGGGGCCTTCTCCACTTTCCACGCCTCGTGGAGCAGAGCAGCTTTACCCAAACATGAGCAAAATTACCAGCAGCCACACAGTCGACCCCACTAGAATTGGATAAAATTAACTTGCAAAAGACAGCACGCTATAACTAGCTTTGTGTTCCAACCTTTCTATATCTATTTAATTAAAGGCTCCTGTATAATGTGAACCCAATAGTCAGATTCATTAGACAGTGAGAACCTAATTCCACTACTGTTTTGCTAATGAAACTGCAGCCTACTTCGGAAGGTAGATCACACAGGGCACTGGGTGCCCAACGACACCCTGGGAGGCCCAGGAGAGCATGAGGGTGGGTGCCTACAGATGGGCACATCATTGAGATGGATTTTCTGCTCTGAGAACCTGGAGGAGCTTCGGGGCAAAGTGGACCAAGGCTGGCACGGGGGACATCCAGGCCACAGCAGACTCTGAGCAGGGGTGCAGGTGGCCAAGTGGGCCAGTTGGGGCGTCCTCGCCTACCTGAATGAGCCAGTAAGTGCATTCTCAGGCGCAAACTATCCAGGAACCGCTTTCCGCAGAGCTCACACCCGTACGTCTTCATCCCACTGTGCAGCTTCCTGTAGGGGAAAGGAAAAGACAGGTTGCAGCTGCTCAGGCTGGACGGAGGCAGGCCCACCCCTACCTGGTGGCTTGGTGCTATCCCTCTACAGTAAGGAGGACAGCAGGCGGAGGGCAAGGCATGAATGGAGACACATCCTTGGGTCCCCAGGCTGCCTCAGCCACCCCTTTTACCCATGGACTGCTGCCAACTCAGGATTCTTTCCTGGTCTTGGCTAATGGACAGAGGAACAGAGCCCAGCCCACTGCTTTACCCGCAGGCACGCAGACCAAGGGGGAAAACCAGATCTAGTTTCAGAGGGAGGAAGGAAGAAGTACCCAGCATAACCAGACAGATGCTGAGAGGCCTGTTAGTCTCTCTACCTTCACCGTGCATGTGCCTGGCTCCCACTCCACCTAGGAGGTTCAGGGGAGCCGAACCTGTGTCTGACCTCTCTCTCCGGTGGCCATCCCAATGACAGGAGCAGGGGAGGTTCGTGAATAAGCCGATGGAGGAATCAATGTCTTTATGGACACAGGAGTATCCCCCCCCCCACCGATCATCCAGATGTTCCAGGAACTGCGGTGACTCCAGCAAACACCCCCAGTTGTAGAGCCTCTTCTCTCTCCTCTATGTCTTGTCCCAACAGAAAGAAGGGTTTCAAGAAACCAGATGACATTCTATACCCACAAGGTGGGAGCAGCATTGTAGGCTTTCCAAAGCACCTTCTCACACACCTTCTGCCATGACAATGATTCTGAGAGGTGGTCTGGAATGTGTGCTCAGCCCTGGGAAGACAGAGGCCCCTGCAACATCTGGCCACAGGCCCAGCCTGCAACAGCACAGCACGCCCACCCCAACTCCACATGCTGTGTTTGGTCATGAAGTAGCCATAAGCCCAGTAAGATGCAGGGAACCAGGCGGCTGGCAGCACGCCCCAGCCTGGGAGAGTCTCTGAGCCACCAGCTGCCCAGCCACCCACACTCCATTCTCAGGCCCTCCGTGCCTCCACCTCCGCCCTAGTCAGCACCTTCCTCACAACACCTCCAGGGCCCCTGGGCCAGAAGGAACAGGACAGGAAATGGCAGCCAGACACAGGTTCTGCGGGGTGGTGAGGTGGGCAGGAGAGAACAGAAGGTCCTCTCAGAGCCAGCAACCTATTGCAATCTGAATGCTGATGTGCCAAGACCGCATTAAAGTGCTGGGGACCTGAGGCTGCTGTGAGATAAAATGGGATGGGGCGAGCGGCAGCGGGTAATAGGCACTCAAGCCAGCAGCACCCAGATCTGGACGCCAGTGCCCACCTACTGCCACCACCTTCCGAATCCCAGAGTGAGAACCCAGCAGTGTGTCCAGGCCACATGGTCTCCTCGGTGAGCCCCCGGCCTGGCGCCCGGTCTGTGGCCATCACAGCGTGTGGTATCCAGTGCAGGCAGCCTTCTGCTAGGGTCACATACAGTTCTCTTCGCAGAACTCTTTCCCAACCACACTGTTTTATTTGCTTACTTTCTCTTGACCCCCTTGCCAAAGACAAATGATTTCTCAATCCCAAGTGCACGCAGGCGCATGCACACTCTCACACACACACACACACCCAGCCGTGACCCTGTAGGACACCCTCCTCCCCCTCCCCCTCATGTCATCTTGCTCTTGGCCATTGCTGATCCATCCAAATTGAGAAACAGTAACAGCGCAGAACATTTTACTGAACATTCTTAACTCCAAATATATTTCACAACACTGGGCACTGGGACATGTCCCAATCGTGTCTGGGGCACAGTATGTTTTTAAATATGTACCCAGGTGGGTGAGTGCATGTGCCTGCACGTTGAGTGCCTGCACGTTGAGTGCACGCACGCGCGCGCGCGCACACACACACACACACACACGAGCAGAGTCTTCCTGCCCTTGCTCAGGCACAACAGATGCTTGCTTTTTCATAGACATTCTGCAGAGTGGCAAAAGCTTGCATCACAAAGGGTGGGGCAAGTAAACTCACTTGCCCCGGCGAGACCTGGCGGGTGGCAGTGCAGGGGGTGCCGCTCCTTTTCCTCCTTTCCCTCGGTGGTGATGTGTTGGCGGTGCTCACCTCTCAGGGGTGGCTGTCAGGAGGGGCACCAGGGCAGACCCCCCCACCTGCTTTTGTTTTCCAAAAGGACTCCACAGTGCTCAGTCTTCAGATTCCAGGAGCCACCTCCAGGCTAAAGTCCCCTCATGGGCTCCCATCTCCTTCCCCAGGGTTCCAGGTCAAATCCCTCACCCTGGCCAACGCGCTTTGGGAATCCCCACTGCCTTCTCTAGATGCTGGTAGACCGGCCTAGCGGTGGGTGGAGGCAGACCGGCATGCTGTAAGGTGGTCATGCTTGCCCTTTTACTACAGAGGCAGCAGGGTGGAGGGAAGATGCCCAGCGAGCAAGACCCGACCCCTATCCTGACTCAGTCATGAGCTCACCTCAAGACAAGCCACCCTACCACATTCTCTCTATTCCTTCTCCCCTGTAATGAAGTGGAGGACGTCTGAACTTTGTTCATTCAAAAGTTGTACCCCGGGACCAGTGCTGTGGCATAGCAGGTTCAGCCACCACCTACAGTGCTGACTTCCCATGTGGGCACCAGTTTAGAGTCCCAGCTGCTCCTCTTCCAATCCAGCTCTCTGCTATGGCCTGGGAAAGCAGTAGAAGATGGCCCAAGTCCTTGGGCCCCTGCACCCGCATGGGAGACCTGGAAGAAGCTACTGGCTCCTGGCTTCAGATCGGCCCAGCTCCAGCTGTTGCAGCCATTTGGGAAGTGAACCAGTAGATGGAAGACCTCTCTCTCTCTTTCTCTCTCTCTCTTTGCCTCTGTCTCTCTGTAACTCTGCCTTTCAAATAAAAAAATCTTAAAAAAAAAAAAGTTTTTCCCCAGCCTCCAAGGAGTCCTCTGACGGACACAATGATTCTTCCTGAGCCATGCCCATCTGTCACCACCCACTGGGACACCCTCAGACATCTAGGTTGCCCAGTTAGGAAAGACCCAGCAAAACTCCAGACCCAACCCAGCAACTTATGCACTGTAAACCCTTCTGATCCAGGTGACCTGAGTTTCCTCCTTTATCCACTTGCTATTTACTTTTAGTAAGAAACTTCTAGAACTCATCACCAACCTTTCTTTGGAACCACTCTGTTGCCATGTGATCCCCAGTCTTCGAAGTCACAGCTGTCCTATCCTGTCCAATGCTCAGGGCAACTGCTTAAACTAACTCAGTGCCCGACATGGATACCAGGGCTGAGCACAGCATCCAGGTGAGTCTGTATGTGGGACAAGGACAAAGGTCTTGCCCCACAGGCAGAGCAGCCTGGACTCAGCACACAAAGTTCAGAAGATGAAAAGGGGAGGAGTTCCCGGGCTTCCAAGGAAGTTCAGCAGAACCCAGCCCTGGTTTACTGGCATCTTTACCGAGGGAAGACTGACAAGGATGGTTCTCCCCTTCACAGGACTTCCTGGAGCAGAACTGGAGTGTGTGCAAGGATTCAGCCATCAGTAGATTCTGTGGCACAGTCTGCAGAGTGGCCCATGTGGAAACCGAATGTCAGCTGGGTTCTAGAGCGTAAGTGCTAACTGGTACAAACCTGTGATCCATCCCTCTGTACACACCTTATCCCAGCACCAGCACCATGTCATGCAACTGCAAAGCATGTAGGTCAAAACGCAAACTCCGTCTACCTCTTTCTTCCTTACCACACACACGCACCTTTTCCCCACCTGGTGCTACCTTTTCACAGCTCAGCTGCTCATGGCCATCTGAGGTCATCAGCCTCCACTGCCACACAGGAAAGGAGAACAGCTGGGCACATCTGTGTGCCTTTCTTCATACTGTCTGGTGGATGAGGGAGTTTTCACCCACCCTTCTCTCAGAAGAAGCCACCCAGAAAAGAACGTGGTTCCAGCATGGCGCAAGCATCTCTACCCCTTACTCAATGGGGAATCCGTCTCCCCATGAGTCAGCTCCTTCCTGTCCGTGTCTAGGGAGCAAAGTCAAGTTCTCCCCTACCCTCCGTGGTGACCCCACCCAGGCTGCACCTCACCCATTAGGTCAACTCACTTGGCACAGAACAGATTTTTACTTCTGTCCACAGCTAAGGGGAGAAACATTAACTTCTGGCAAGTTCCTATCTATATCCTCAAGAAACCTAACTCACTGTTAAGAAATTAGAGCTGAATGAATCTGGGCCTTTTAGCAAGTAACTGAAGGATCATTTCTTCCCACCAACTCTTAACTCCCACTAGTAAAACCAGGCGAGCAAGGCCCAAGCGCATCATCTGAACCACCCTCGAGCCACTGCAAGTCTGAAAACCCACAGAGATCCTGTCTGGTTTGGACTGCACACTTCACATCGAAGGAAGCCGTGTCTGTGTCTTCTTTTCTTGAGAAGACCAAGTCTCGAAGCGATTGCTCAACTCTGCTGAAGACATCCCTCTGCACAGAGTAGAGGCGAGGGCGTTCCCCTGCTGAGGCCAGCAGTGTTCCAACTACAACAGCTCCCCAGGCAGCCTCCAGTGCAGAACGGGACCACATGCACTGGGCTCCTGGAGTCCACACGAGGAAAGCCCAGGGCTACTACACAGTGGCGTGAAGCCTGAGCCTGAGCCCCATCTCCCATCTCCCGGGGGAGCCTCCATCAAGCCTGAGTGACAGCAAGGAAAGACCATCTCCAAGCCCCACCCTCCTCTCCTGCAGCCCCACAGTCGGCGGTCCTCTGTGCCGGTGTCTCCTCTCTGCAGGAGGGGCTCAGCCCACTTCCAACTCAGGCAGCCGAAGACCAAGGAAAGATGGCAGGAGAGGGCCTCACTGTACCACCAAGGGCCCAGAGCAAAAGGCCAGCGACCCCAGCTGGCTGAGAGAGAGGGGCTCGAGGCCCAGCACTACCCATGCCACATTTCCTTCTGAGTTCCTCTGCCCAGAGACAAATGGCACGGTTGGAACCAACCAGCAGGCAGTGATGGTTCAGGGACAGAATTCTCAGTTCCAGCAACCCAACC